CAACTTGTTCAGCCATTCCCCAACTGATGGGTATCCCCTCAATTTCCAATTCTTTGCTACCACAAAAAGAGCTGCTATAAACATTTTTGTACATGTGGGTCCTTTGTACTTTTCTTTTATCTCTTTGGGATACAGAACTAGTAGTGGATTGGTAGATTATTAGCCTTTGGACACAGTTCCAAATTGTTCTCCAGAATGTTTGGACTAATTCACAACTCCACCAGCAGGGCATTAGTGTCCCTAGTTTTCCACATCCCCTCCAGCATTTGTCATTTTCCTTTTCTGTCATGTTAGCCAATCTGATAGAGATGAGGTGGCATCTGAGAGTTGTTTTACTTTGCATTTCTCTAATCAATAATGATTTAGAGCATTTTCAATGTGTCTTATTAGTGGAGTCAATCAGTTATTCAAATGATTATTAACATTTTGTATTTCCTCTTTTGAAAATTCCATCAATATGCTATTATCATTTAGACATTGTAGATTGGGAATTATCACTGTGATTTTTTTTCTTATAATTCCTTGTATATCTTAAATGTCAAGTTTTTAATCTCATTCTTGCTATATTTTTCCATTCTTTTTCTATTTTGATTTTCATTTTTGTTGCTCAAAAATTTTTAAATTTTAATGTAGGAAATCTTGTCCCCAATAGTTCCTTACATTTTTGGAACTGAAAAAAATTAATTTCCCATAATTGAGTTAAATATTCTATTCCATTTTTTTCTCCTAGGGTTTGTTACATTCACATCAATCTCAACCATCTAGAGTTCACTGGGTTATATAGTGTAAAATGTGGTGTCCAAATTCCTTCCCTTCCAAATTGTCTATCAATTTTCCCAAGTAGTTTTGTTAAATAATATGAGTTTTTATTAAAAGCACGTACAAGTCAAAATAGTTACCAATGACATGTTAGTGGATCTAGAAAAATCCAACAAATTCAACCCAAAATTTATTGAAACAAATGAATTTGGCTAAGTTGAAGGATACAAGATTAACCTATAGAAATCATCTGCATTTTCATAATAATAAAAATCATGAAAACATAAAGCCTTATTTACAATAGCAAGAGAACCATGAAATTTTGAGTAATTCATTTACCTAAGAAAACATGAGTCCAGTCTTATTTTACAATGTAACAAAGATGATGGAAAACTTTAATCAGAATTATGAAATGCATTGTCTCTTTTGGGAAGATTTTTATAGTCATCTTTGAAAGTTTTAAAGATACTTAGGGTCATGTAGTTGCTTCTAAAGAAATTAAGAGATTCTTGTTCTGTTTACCTTATCTCGTAAATTTCCCTCTACTAGTAACTACCATAATTAAGATTTCAATTTATTGTATTTGATAGGATTGTAATTCTGCTTTGTTGAATTATCTCATCACTAACAGTTTTATCTCTTATCTTGATGTTAAGTAGATCAGTTCTGCCTAGAAAAAGTATGACCCAGCCCTCGCTAACAATAAAATTTTCATTTTTTGATCCATTGTCATATTGTGGAATCACATGTCAAAAAACCTCAAAACTTTGGCTTTAATAGTAGGCAAACTCAAAGGCTATAGTCATGAGCTTGATTCTAAACCTACAAATTTATAAGATCCCCCTTTATTCATAATACTTTGTTATCCTAGAATAATTGATTATGATGGGAACTTTTTCCCCTCAGCTTTTTTTTTTTTTTTTTGGCTAGGCAGTGGGGTTAAGTGACTTGCCCAGGGTCACACAGCTGATAAGTGTTATGTGTCTGAGGCCGGATTTGAACTCAGGACCTCCTGACTCCAGGGCCAGTGCTCTATCCACTGCACCACCTAACTGCCCCCCCGACCTCAGCTATTTTTAAGGGTTGCATATGAGGTGTAGTAGGCAAGACTGCTCAATTACTAAGATAAGAAAGAAAGAGTACATATTGAAATAATCACTATTCTAAAGTATTCGCATATTTTGGTCTGTAATTATGATAAAAACATTTTTCTTACCTGATTTTTGGAGATGAGAATGTTATCATTGTAATTCTTATGTATTTTTGTAAGGAAAGGTCTCCAGTGCCCATTGGCTCTATGCCTATTACTTTGGTTCAGTCAATTCTGCTAGTAAATGTGGAGCTATGACAATGCCACAAGTTTGCAGGGTCAGGAAAGGACAAAAGTGTAGTCTGAGATCTGAATATATGTTGTGAATGGCATTGGAACACAGGCCCAGAAAAGCCTTTTGGGCAAAGCCATTGGGATAATTCAACTAGTAAAATGTGTTTCAGGACAGCACAAGGCTTGAAATAGGGAATATGATGACTTGAGGATTCAAATAGAGATAGATTCTTTCCTATTTGGGAACTAATGAAGGAAGAGGAGGAGCTCTCATTGCCTTGCCCTGGATCAAAGATTTAGGCTGAAGTAAACTACAAATAACCCAACTGGGAAGTCTCTAGGAGAGAGATGTACATAAGAAGTCCCTAATTAGTTGAGATAGGATTTGAACCATTATTCTTTCTTCTACACGATGGCTGCCATTAATACATCCTTGCATCTTAAAAAGTTTCCTTAGTTTTGGGGGGGGGGGGTTTCTCTGTGAAAGGACTATTTCATACTTCCTCTCCTATTTAAAATATTTATATATAACATAGCTAGCCAAATCAGAATTGAAATCTTGGATGAACTGATTTACAGAAAGATTTCCAATGAAGAGGAGCCCATTACTTCTTGAAGCAACCCATTCCAAATTAGAATAAATATAATTGTTAGGAAGTTTTGCCTTACATCAGCCCCAAATTGGATTCTCTTTATTTACCTAGTGTTCATAGTTCTACCCTTTGGGGTCAGATAGAATAGCTAATCCTTATTCTGTATAGCAGCTCTTTAAATACTTGAAAATTATGATGTCCCTCTCTCCCCCAAAACATGTCTTTTCATACTAAACATACCCAGTTTCTTCAGTCTTTGTAGTATCATTTCTAGTCCTCTCTATAGCCTGGACCCTCTCCCCTCTGAGTATACTCCAGCTTCTCAGTATTGTAGAAGACAATAATCTGTACTAACTCCATAGCCATTATTTATAAGTAGCATATGCCACATATGTAAAAACTCAAGTTACCACTCCATCTTTAGAAAGTTCCTACAATCATTTGGTCAACAAGTGTTTAAGTGCTTCCTATATGCCAGGCACTATGCTAGGTAGAGGAGATGTACTCAGCTCTGCATCATTGTCTGAAATAATACAACACTGTGTCCATGATTTGGGAATATTGAGACCCTGGAGCACCTAAGTTTGTCTCCTGATCTTATACATCCTTACAATAAACCTTGCTTGAAACTATAGCCTCTGAGTGCCTTGCATGATCATTTTCTGCACCTCTGTACAAAGTGCAAACCTATAAATGGGTAGACTAGCACAGAATTGGTAATAACAGTAAGATGCAGAAACTGAACCCAGAAGTGAGGATAAACAGGAATAAACATGGAAAGATGGAGTCTCCACTTTGGGTTGGATGGGTGGACCTAAGTAGGGTTTTTTCAACCCTCAGGTGGGCTTGACTGGTGACACCAGGGTCTTCTATAAAAGGGAAATGAAGCAGGAAGCAGTAGGTAAACGTTGAGGTCAGAATCTTGGGAAGGAGTAGGCAAAGCAGCACTGGGCTATGGTTTTGAAGGAAAAAAATGGAAAGAGATCAATACCACTGCTCATGACTACTTGACTGTGGACAGAGTGGAAATTATTGAGGAAAAGGCATTCAAACTCAGGCAAAGTTAGAGAGCATGGTATGGATCCAGAAAGGTTGGCTGAATTTTTCTTAACTTGGTGTCTGATGACCACAAGGTCATTTTCCACAAGGAAAGCTTTATTTTGTTGTTTTTTTTTTCAGTGTTAAATCTATATCCATGTGTGTGCCTGTTGATTTAATGTGTGTACATGTGTGCTAGTGCTAGTAGTAAATCTGATTAGGAGAGTACTATTTCTTTCCCTGTTACCTCTAGGATCAAATATAAATTCCTCTGGCATTTAAAATCTTTCAACCTAGGTCCCTACCTATTACCTATCCAGCCTTATTCCACATTACTCCCTTTCACATTCCCTAGAGTCCCGTCAAACTGACTTTCTTACTTTTTGTCATACAGAGTACTCTATTTTTCGTTGTCTCCTGTGTCTGCAATGCATTCTCACCTTGCCTCCACTTATCCGTCTCCTTCAGGTCTCTGGTATTGCCCTCTCCCTCTTCCCCTACCCCCCATTACCTTGTATATGTCTTCCTTAAGAGAATGTCAGAGGCAGTTCTCCTGAAAGTTGGGGACGGTTTCACTTCTGTCTTTTTACGCCTAGCAACTAAGACAGTACCTGCCAAAGTTTATGCTAAATGGTGACTTACACAAAGATACTAGTTTCCTGTCCCAGGTGAGCCAGAAGAGAGAGGTTCCGAGATGCTGTGGGAGAAGACAGACCAGAATGGGTATGAGGAGGGTAGGGAGAGAAGGTCGGCAATGGCGGCCTCTGATTGGTGGAGAGAGCCTCGCGTCCTGGCCCCTCCCCTACTCGCGCAAGTTAATTTATTTTTATCACAGTTTATTATTTTTTCCTTTCCACTGCTCTCCCTGCCTCAACAGAACAATTTTTCAAATCCTTCATAATAAATACGCTTAGTACAGCAAAACAAATTTCCACGTTGGCCATGGCCAAACTTGCAAGTCCACCTCTTCTGCATGGCCGGCAGCATGATTCATCTTCAACCCCCCGGACTTGTAGAGTTTCGCTTTTTGCTAGAGCTCTGGAGACTTACATACTCTTCCAGGTGCCGAGAGTTAAGGAAAGCGGGGGCGGAGGGGTCGGAGGCGGGGTACAAGTCTTGGAGAACCTCCAATAACTGAAGTCTCTGCAAGGCAGAAGCCGTGGCATTTTGGGAGTTGTAGTATTGAGGATCCCTGAGCGCAGGCGCAATCCCGAGCCTCGCCTGAGTATGAGCTAGATTTCCTGTAGCACCTTTGGTCGGAACGAGCTGGAGATCATTCTAGGTCCCGGACTCATTCCCAGGTATTTAATGACTTGGCCCCGATTCCCCACCCCTACTCCTAGATTCTGGATCAGGTAGATCCAGAATACTGTGCATGCATTTCCCTTGAGGATGTGTGTGTGTGTGTGTGTGTGTGTGTGTGTGTGTGTGTGTTTGTGTGTCCCAGATGAAAGATCTCCTTATATTCTTGTAACTGCTTTTGTGTGTGTGTGTGTGTGTGTGTGTGTGTGTGTGTGTGTGTGTGTGTGTCCCAGGTGAAAGATCTCCTTATATTCTTGTAACTGCTCAGCCGCTAATTCTGGGCTTTGAGCAGAGTAGGTGTTTATTTAACTACTTTGAAATGCTCATTAATATTCTCATCATCTTCAATTTACCTTGTATTTCATTCTTTATCTACATGTTGTATTCTGCTGGCCTACTCACCCACTGACTGCCCTAGCAATGTCAGCTCCTTGAGGGCAGGAACTTTCCATTTTTGCTTTTGTATCCTAGGGTCTAGCCAGCTGCCTGGAGCATAATAGCTGCTAAGTGTTTGTTGAATTTAATTGAATTATAGGTTTGTTGGATGAATGAAACTCATTTTTGCCCTTTTGTATGTACAGCTCTTTACCTATCTCTGCAGTGCCTGCCCTTTGAGATCCAAACTGAGGCTGGGGCTGCTAAGTCCTGACTGTTACCGATTCCATCTTCTTTGTGCTCACAGCATCCCCATTAGACTCTATAGGTGTCCAGTGTGGAGTACTAAAAGGAGTATTCTACAGAGGAGGCAAACATCTCAGCTCTAGTGATGGTCCCTCCAAAAGTGACCTTGCCTTTAAGCCTCCAGGCCCTGGAAAGCAGGAATCCATCCTAAGAGGAGAAACATTTGGTATGAGACCTTTGGCTAGAATTTCAGGAAACAGCAGGGTTTGTCAGAGGCTGGTGCTGGAGCAGTTCCCAACCACCCAAGTTGGGGTTCTTTGATCTCTTTCCCCTAATATCTGGCTAAACAATGTTAGAGTGACATCACAACATTCAGATGCTAAGGAGGAGTGAGTGATCTTAGAGAATCTGACCAACATGCTTGGGTAGAAAATTGAGCATTACAGAAACTAAGAACGAGTTGTGGTTTGGCCATATAGGAGATCACACCTAGACTAATTGCAGTAGCCTTATTAATACAGAAGAGAACATTCTTTGACCTGAAATCGCCTTTCTCCTTATAAAGTTTGCTTAGTAAGGTGGGTACTTTGTTCCCTGTGGGACTTAAGCATACCCTGCACTGCACCCCTACTCTATACTCACCAAGGGATGATTCTGGGAAGACATCAAAGGCAGGATATTTTAATGGGTCCTGGGTCAAGACTTGGAGTGGAGAGGAATTCAGGAGGAGAGGAATAGAGCAGAAAATGCTTTGCAAATGGGTAGGTAACACATTAAAAGCTTCCTGAACTATAGCTTGACAATTTGGTGACTGTAGAAGTAGGTTTTGGTTGGTACTATATAGGCTGTGGTGTTATAATATATATCTATTCTAATCTAATGTCTTAGAATGTACTAAGACCACAGTGATAGGATCTTTACTCTGTAGACCTTTCTTCTGATTCCGGATTGAGGGTGGGGCTACTCCTTTGACCTCCAGCTTCCTTCCTAAGGCATGGTGGGTAGATATAATAACACCCAGTTGTGCTGTGAGGATTTCTAGCTTGGTGGGTCTGGGAAGCACAAGACAAGAGATTTCCCTCATGGCTTCTTTCCCTTATGCAGCTCCGCCTTGTCAGGAATCCACCCTTCCTCAAGAGAGGAGCACAGAGTAGGAAGGAATGAGTGCAGGACTGCTTATGACCAGGTCACAGGTAAGTTGGGGTTCTTTGATCTCTTTCCCCTAATACGCCTTCTCCTGCCTGAGAGTAAAAACATTTTCTTCCCTTACGCTGGAGCTCATAAATGGCCTTCCTTAAAAAGTCCCGTCCAGGAAACCTGAGCAGTTATTTGACTCCAGAGGACTGGGAATGTTTTTCTCATGTTCCCAGTTTACCTACTGCTATTCCACAGCGTCCTTCTCTTCTCTCCCAAGATCCAGTCCTTCAATCAGGATATGCAGTTGTATTCTCAGTACTATGTTCAGGAACACTGGCAAAACATAAGAAATAGAAGACACAGGCCTTGTCCTTAAGAATCTTCTAGTTTCATTGGGGAGACAAGACATGAACATTAAAATCACAATTTTAATTATTTTTAACTTATAGAAAAGTTATATAATGCAAGATGAGTCAAGATCAAAATGAATGGCATGGACAGTAAATATGAGTTCCAGGAAGGTACAATGTGGGCTGTAAACTCTTTTGAAAGAGGTGGGATTTGAATTGGCCCTGATAGACAGGATTCGAATAGCTATAAAAGACAGCTAAGGGAAAGCCAGAGGACGGGCGATCAAATCCTTTTCCTGATGCTCTGTATTTGTATGAACTTGGGGCTAAATTCTGTAAACTGGAAAAACAAAAAGGTTACACTAGATGACCTCTAAGGCCCCTTCCAGTTCTAAAGCTCTAATCCTGTCATGCTATGAATACCATGAGTAAAGACTTGGAGCTGGAATGAACATGTCCTTTATAGGAATCAGAGAGAGGACTGACCTGGCTTGAGTTGAGGTTGCATTTTAGGAAGTAGTGAGGAAATAGAGCACAGCTTGGTAGGGTGAAGCCCTATTGTACTGGGCCTTGAATGTCAGATTAAGGAGTTTTGAATAGGTCCTGTAGATAGTTAGGGGATACTTTCTGTTCTCCGGGTTTTCATGATTCTGCTCTTCCTTGGTGTTCATACTGGTCTGACCTCTCTTCTATCTCCTTTGTTATGCCCCCTAACTGCATGTGTACTCCAGGATTCTGTCCTAAGCCTTTTCTCTTTCTACCACGTGGTGACCTCATCAGCTCCCACAGGTTTAATTATTATGTCTACATGGATAACTCCCCAATTGCTATCCAGCCTTGGGGTCTCTTCTGAACTTCTATCTTGCATCACATCACTAACTGCTTACTGAGAGTTTGGAACAAGATATCCCATAGAGAGCTCAAACTCGGCATGTCTAGAACAGAACTCATTGCACTTGCACCTGCCACCCCCACCTTGGACCCATTCCTCTCCCAAGTTTCTCGATTGCTGTTGAGGATACCACCAACCTAGGTGTGTCTTCCTTAACTCCTCATTCTCCCTCAGTTCATGGAGCCAATCAATAATGGATTTAAAGTCGGAGAACTTTGTTTAACTTGATACCATCACTATCTAAATGACCTTGGACATATCGCTTAACCTCCTTAGGCCTTAGTTGCCTCATCCTTAAAATGACAAGTTTGGACTAGATGACCTCTGAGGCCTCCCAAGTTAAAACACAAGCTCTCTGAGGCCAGAAACTGTTTAACTTTTGTCTTTGTATCCTGAGCCCCTAGCACAGTGCCTGGCACTATAGTGGTTACTTTAACATGCTTATTGATTGACTAAAGAAGAAATGACTTTTTGGGTGGAGGGGGATGAAAGAAGGAAGAGTCTAAGATGTCTTCAGGATTTCTGCACATTGTGCCTGGAAGAATACTGATCTAGATAGAGCAGGTGGAAGTGACTGTCTCACTGTTTGAGACTAGGCCCTACAGTATGTAAATTATCATTGAAAGTTGTTCCAGATGAAAAAATTTTCACATGTAAAAAATGACGTCCAAAAATACTCCCTTTAATCTCAGAGTTTTTAATTGTCTAAGAGTGGCAGGATCTGGAGAAGCCAGTTACAGGAGCCTGAGGTTGGAGTTTATTGATGTTTTCCCAGACAGAAGATATTTATACTTTTCTGGACAAGAACTTAAAATCCTGGGAGCTATTTTTCCCGTAGGAGGATGAATGCACAATTTAAGATTTATATTTTTACTGTCCACAGAAAATCAAGAACTTACCTATTTATATTAATTGTAGGCCAAATTATAGTTAGGTGGATTTGGAACTAGTTGAATTCCAACCTTTGGAGTCCAATATTGAAATCAGTGAGTAGACATTAATGGCTTCATATATACTTGAAGGGAGTGTCCCAGGAATCTGTCCTTGGTTCTGTGTTAACATTTTTTATCAATGATTTGATAAGGTGTAGATGGTAGATGGCAGACTTACATTTTTGGGGGACAAAACTGTCAGGGAAAGCTAACTCATGATGACAGGATCTAAAGAGATCTCAAAAGACTAATAAATAGTTGAACCAAATGTAATGTGGAATTTAATGGGAAAAAATTCAATTCAACCAAGATTTATTTGTGGTGGCGGTTGTTGTGGTTGTTCAGTCATATCTGGCTTAACGATTGCATTTGGGGTTTTCTTGGCAAAGATACCAGAGTGGTTTGCCATTTCCTTTTCTTCCTCATTTTACAGATGAGGAAACTGAGGTAAACAGGGTTCAGTGACTTGCCCAGGGTCACACAGCTAGTAAGAGTCTGAGGCCAGATTTGAACTCAGGAAGATGAGTCTTCCTGACTCCAGGCCTGACACTCTAGCTACTGTACCATCTAGCTGCCCAAAAGATTTATTAAGCTCCTACTATATATGAGCCACCATATTTGGTGCCAGGAAAATCAACTCTTTCTCCAGGATCAAGTATTATATTGGGAGATATTACATTGGCAAAATGCCGTATATATACATATAAGTTAATACAAAGTAATATCAAGAGGGTGACAATGTTAATAAGGTGTATGTGGGTGGAGATACTGAAAGGGTTCACGTTTTCAAGATGCCCACTAGGGGGCACAGCATGCCCTGGCCTGTCTGCAAGAAGAGAGGAATAATTGCAACAATAGTAATAGGACTAAGGCAGTGAAGCCCAAGCATGGTGAAGGAGCCTTCTGCTTTCCTCTTCAGTACTTCCTGGTAAATAAAAGGAGAAGCTCACAGCCTTGCCACCTTGCCACTTATCCCTTCAGACTCCTGGGCATTGCCATTCACCTTGCTAATGTGTGCAAAGACCACTGGATCTTGCCATCTGCCCTGCAACTAAACCTCTCTTTGTATGTTATACTCACGACATCCGTAACACTTCCACAGAAGTGTCTTCCACTTTTTGTGTGTGTGTGGCCCTAGTACAAGGTCAAACAGTAGGCTTCTCTCCACTCACAAGGCTACCATCCTAGTTCAGACCCCGCCTCTCATACCTGTACTATACAAGAGCCTACTAATTAATTTCCCTGAACCCTTTCCTTATTACAATCACTCCTCTACACAGCTGCCAAAATAATTTCCCTACGGGGTACAGAAATCTATCCTGCCCTACAGGAAAATAGAAGAGGAAGGGGATAAGAGAAGGGGAGGAGAGATAGAAAGGAGGGCAGACTAGAGGAAGGGGTATTCAGAATGCATGCCATCTTGGGGTGGGGGGAAGGGCGAGATGGGGTGAAAATTTGGAACTCAAAATCTTGTGGAAGTGAATGTTGAAAACTAAAAATAAATACATTTTAAACAAAGAAAAAAACAATTTTGCTAAAATGTGAGTCTGATGTCACTCACCTATTCAGTAAACTCCAGTGGCTCCCCTTAGCCTCTAAGATCGAATGTAAACTCTTCTGTTCTGCTTTTAAAGCCCTTTACAACCTGGACCCAACCTATCTTCCCCATCTTGTTACTCTTCTTCCCTCTATATACAGCCAAACCAACCTTCTTGCTATTCCTTACACATGACAGTCCCAGTTCCATATCTTTGCACTGGTTGTCTCCCATGCCTGAAGTGCACTCTCACCTCAGCCTCTTAGAATCTCTTATTTCCTTTAAAACTCTAGACGAGTAACATCTTGATCCAGCTAGGTGGTGGAGTGAATAGAGCACTGGATTTGGAGTCTTAGAGACTCCAAGTTCAAATTTGCCTCAAACACTAGCTATTTGACTCTGGGCAACTCATTTAACCTATCTGTGCTTCAGTTTCTTAATCTGTAAAATGAAGGGATTTAATTTGATGTCCTCTGTTCCCTTCTGTGATCTTTGATTCTATAGAAAGTCTTTGCTGAAACCCACTCCCCCAGGTGCTAGTTCCTTCCTTCCAAAAAATAAATTACTTTTTTTTAGTTATTGTGTGTATACTTATTTACATATTTAATAGAATTAAGCTGCTTGAGGACAGGGACTATGCCATTTTTGTCTCTGTACCCCCAGTGCCCAGGACATAGAAATTGTTCAATAATGCTTGTTAATTGATTCATTGATACCTTACCCCAAACCCAACTCTGTATATATCTTGGCTCTCTTGACCCACCCTCACATATCTAAAATCAGTGGAAGTAAATGTAACTGTAGATGGTAATTTCCATAATTCATTGGTCATCAGTATAAGGATACAGCTGCTTCTGCTTCCTGGTGCATGAAGAAAGTTGGATGCCATATAGTCCAGATAAGCCCTTCCATATTTTGCTTGTATTCCCACAGTACTATCATTTCAGTAATTTAATGCATAAATGGCAAAAGGTCAGTAGGGCCATAATTGAAGCTGTCCTAATTGAAGCTCACTTGGAAAAATTTGTTTTCTTCAGTCACTATCCCTAGGAATTCCTAAAGCAGGACAACTACTACTGAGGTGGATTCTTGGAAGGGCTTAGTGACTGACTCAAGAGTTGGATAGTACCGTGTTCCAATGTAGGAAGGGAGGGAGAAAAAAAGGGAATTAGCATTTACATAGCATTTACTATATTCCAGGTACATATTAATCACTTTTACCAATATTATCTTATAGGAAGCATTTGTCTTGCTATAGCCATTAAACCTAAGCATGCTCCCCAATGTAAGCATATTGATCTTCATGAGTATTTGGCCTAAGTAGCCATCCCATATTACTTTACTATAGGTTTTATGGCCCCGTTACTTTAAGCTCATTATATATTACTATAAGCACATTATGAATTACTGTGGCATGGCTGTCAAAATATTACTCACAATCTTAGGTTTTATTAATATGATTTGTAGTGTCTAGGGTGAGGGAGATGAAAAACCCATTACAGTCTGTGTTGGTCAGGCTAAATAGAGAATATTCTATTCTGTTGCGTAAGCTACATTTTAATGGGGACAAATAAACTGAGAAGGGAAAGACTAGCATGAAAAAGATGACATATGAACAATTAAAGAAAATAGGATGTTTAGTCTGGAAAAAAAGATTGAGAAAAATATAATAACAGCCCTCAAATATATGAAGAGTTGCTAAGTAAAAGATGGATTTGACTTGATCTTTGTAGAAGTCCAAACTAGGAACAATGGGTGGAAGTTAAAGTTAAAGGTCAAGAGATTGCACCTCAATAAAAGGAAGAACTTTTTCATATTTAGGAACAAAATTAATTGCGCTGCTATGAGAGAGAAAGAGACTCCACTGGAAGTACTCAAGCAAAAGTTGGTCGATTGAGGAGAAATGTAGAAAGTAATTGTCCATTAGATTTGAGATTGCTCCAAGTCAATGCTATGACCTAGATCAATGCTAACTTTACAATTCTGAATTTTCTGTGAAATCTTTTGTGATCCAAATCCAGGTTGGTCTCCTTATTCTGAGCTTATGTACACTTACTGTCTTGCCACACAACTTATCATTTTACTAGATCCTATCTTGTATCGTTTGCCAATTGAATTGTTATTTGTTTTAATACCAGTAAAAATATATGTTCCTCAAGGACACATTATATCTCATACTTCCGTACCAGCTATATAATCGGGGGAAGTGCTATGCTTATAATGGAGAATCACATAATTTATTTGACTTGAAACACTCAGGTCTCTGAACATTATCAGTACATATAATCTTATCCATTCACTTTGATCCTGCCAATTTTCCAAGAACACACCCAGGCTAAGCAAAAATGTGTTTGTCATTTCAGGCATCATTGACATTTAAGGATGTAGCTGTGGTCTTCACCAAGGAAGAGTGGGGGCAATTGGACTATGGCCAGAAGCACCTCTACAGGGAAGTGATGCTGGAAAATTATAAGAACCTGGTCTCGTTGGGTAAGGTTGATTTTCCTGTGTGATTTAGGGTCAGTCTTCTTATTGGAAACTTTTTCCCCCCTCAGTTAAGTTTTTGGGCTTCTAAAATACTTATCTGTGCAGGAAGTGAGTGTTCAATGATCTTATACTGCTAATCCCTTTGAGCATAGAAAGAGAATATTCCTGCTCTTTCTTTAAGGATGAAAAGTCTGCACTTTTATAGTATGAAATAGATACCTTTATAGTGCTAAATTTTTTTCAAATGCTTCAACTTTCTCATATTCCAGAGATTCTGAAGAATAAAGGGTTAGAGATTTTCTGTGATGTTTCTTCATTCTCAGAACAAATACCCCAGTAATTTGTCTTTCCATATGAGCAGGGCATAAAGGGTCCAAACCAGATGTGATCTCCAAGTTGGAACATGAAAGAGATCCATGGAAGGTAGAGAAAGAAATCACAAGATGTACCTGCCCAGGTGAGTGAGAGAAAACCAAGCAGGTCAGAGTCATCAAAAAGTCATAAGGAGGGGGCAGCTAGGTGGCACAGAGAATAGAGCTCTGACATTGGAGTCAGGAGGTTCAAATCCAACCTCTGACACTTGACACTTACTAGCTATGTGACCCTGGGCAAGTCACTTAACCCTGATTGCCTCACCAAAAAGCAAAAAAAAAAAAGTCATAAGGAGTTATAGTCTTAGAACTCTTGATATTGTAGTTTTGAGATTTCCCCAGGCCTGTGAGGAAGACTGAGGTCACTTGTCATGAAGCCTCAACCTCTATATATCATGTGCAACTTAATCAGTTTTCTTGCAGAATTCCAAACTGATACACTGAACATTTGAACCAATTCACAGCTTCAACAATAGTATGTTACTGTGACTGCTTTTCCACAGCCTGCAAGCAATATTTCCATTTTTTATTATTGTCTATTTAAGAGATGTGAGGTAGAACCTCAGAATTGTTTTTAATTTGCATTTCCCACATTAATGATTTGGAACATTTCTCATCTCCTTTGTTTATTGATTTATTGGGGAATAGGACTTTTATTCATAAATATTTGTTTCAATTCCATACATATCTTGAATGTCAGCTTTGTCCAAGTTATTAGATGAAAATATCCCCTCCCACCACTCAACATTTTTTTATTCTAGTTGAATTGAAAGTTGCCTGCTTTCTTCCTCCTGTTCAGTTCTAGTCCCACCTCATTATTCATCTTCAATGCCTTTCCAAGATGTGTGACCTGATGGACTAATTTCATCTGAAGACACAAAAGAAATAGTTTTAATGAAGAAGAAAATGAGTAATAGCCTTAAGAAACTGAAGTGGATACAAGGGAACCCATCAACCAACTTAGATTTTTAAAACATATACAAAAGATGGAATCAAAAGCCAATAATGGGAGAATTAATGCAAAGGCATTTCATGCACCTCTAAGAAAAGTATCAGAAATTTTAATTAAGGATCAGGATGAACTAAGGCTCATAAGGAAATGCTATACAAGAAAAAGGATATTTGTAGTAATTGGCAAAAAGATGAGTATCAAAGAGGGAATAGGACCACTGCTCAAAATGGATAAGATTCTGATAATCAATATAAAAAAGAAAACAGAGCCACTCAAAGCAGAAATATAAATAACTACAATAAAAAAAATATAAAGGATACAAGTAAAGGGAAAGATCAAGGCATCAAACAAGACTTTTTTTTTAAAGAAAGAGAGATAGGAACATGAGTTGGACCCTGAGAGCTTTTAGAATTTGAATGGGGTGAGTAGACAGTCCAGGTGGAGAGAAAAATATGAACAAATCTCTGGAATGAGAAATGAATACTGTATGTTTGTGGAACACTTACGAGCCCACCTAGACAAGAGTGGGTCATGCTTGTTTTGAAATAAGGCTGAATAAGTAGTATGAAAATGGATCATGAAACACTCTGAACGTCAGGTTAAGGATACTAATCTTTATGTTGTAAGCAATAGGAAGATGCAGTGTTCAATAAGAACAATTTTCACTTGGAGCCATTGGGTATAGTAGTAAAATGGAGGTTCAAGATCAGGGGGGAATAAGAACAGGAAGCCGGGATTTTAGACCCACAAAGGTCTAAAGATAGCAAAGTTATGGGAATCAGGAAATCAAATTAGAATAGAGTTAGTCTGGCATTAAATGTCAGATAAAAAGAGTTTCAATAGTGAGGGCAGATGATTGCCCACAATTCAGTAACATCAGGAGAATAAAACACGACACCTGTGATCAAAATGGGGTGCTGCTCCTGATAATGTGGAGCCAATGGTTTTCTCTCTGGCCCTTTGTAATTTTTACAGAATGTTAGCAACCCCAGCCCTGTAAGTGTGTGGAAGAAGTGATTGCATTTAGACAGAGATAATTATCGTCGTGGTCACAGAAAGACCCTGATAATGGTTAGGGAAGGTTTGGGAGAGCTGGGACTGCAGGGATCTTCTTATAGACTTGAGGATTTTTAAACAAAATGTAGACAGAAGTGTACAGGGTCAGTTGAAAAGGACAGGATCGTACTACAGTAATGGGAGTGATTGAGCTCTCTACGCTGACCTGAGTCTTGTTCCCACAATGCTGACATTTGCTCTTTGACACATCTCCACCACTTCACTTATTCCACTCCTTCATCCCTTCTATTCCACTTCATTCAGATTCTTTCACTTGCTTTCTGCCTTCTTTTTCCATTCTCATTCAGGATCATTGTGCATTATTCTCATCATTATCACTTCATTATTCTCATTTTAGTAATTTCCTTCCTCCCAACACAGGCTATAGGGCACAATTTTATCATTTTTCTTTTAGAATGGTATAACAGACATGAAGTCAAGGAGCCATTTTCAAAACAGGGCATTTCTGAAGAGGAATCCTCCAAAGGGTCCACAGTGGAAAGATTTACAAAGGGTGGCATCTTGTACCCTAAGCTAGGAGAAGTCTGGAAACTCAATGACCAATTTGGGATGCAGAGACACCTGCAACAAATGACTGTTTCCCAAAAGACAATGTTCCATGGAAAGACAGGTCCTGAGTGTAATGAATTTAGTCTGAGCTCAAACCTTGTTACAAAATGGGATGGTTTTACAAGAGAGAGTTGGTATAAATGTGATATGTGTGGGAAAATCTTAATATGTAAAACCCACCTAATTAGACACCAGAAACTGTGTGTAGGAGAAAAATCCTATGATAATAATGAATGTGCAAAAATTTTTAATGAGGGTTCATTCTGTAGGCAGCATCAGAGGGTTCCTGCTGGTGAGAAGTACTTTAAATATGAAAGTGGGGAAGCTTTTCAACTGCATGAAAACTTTACTCAATATAAGAAAATCCATACTGGCAAGAAACTCTCTGAATGTACTGAATGTGGGAAGGCATTCAGAATGCATGGACAGCTTAGTCAAAATATGATAGGAAATATTGAAAGCAGGAAAGCTTTCAATAAGAGTGAATTCCTTTTACAACATCAAAGGATCTATACTGGAGAGAATTCTTATAAATGTAATAATTGTGGGAAAGCTTTCAGTAAGGGTGCAGTCCTTAGGCAGTGTCAAAGAAACCATGATGGAGAGAAATCCTATAAGTGTAATGAATGTGGGAAAGACGTCAGTAAAGGTACGCTCCTTAGGCAACATCAGAGAATCCATACAGGAGAGAAACCCTATAAATGTAATGACTGTGGGAAAGCCTTCAGTAAGGGTGCACTACTTAAGCAACATCAAAAAATCCATAGTGGAGAGAAACCTTACAAATGTAATGAATGTGGAAAAGCCTTCAGACTGTGTGGACATCTCACTCAACATAAGAGAATTCATACTGGAGAGAAACCCTACAAATGTTATGAATGTGGGAAAGCTTTTCGTCAGAGTACAGACTGTACACAGCATCAGAGAATTCATACAGGAGAGAAGCCCTTTAAGTGTACTGATTGTGGGAAAGGTTTCAGCAAGGGTGCACTGCTTATACAGCATCAGAGAGTCCATACAGGAGAGAAACCTTATAAATGTAATGAATGTGGGAAAGCCTTCAGCCTGCATGTAAACCTTACTCGACATCAGAGAATCCATACTGGAGAGAAGCCCTATAAATGTAATCAGTGTGGGAGTCTCTTCAGGCACAGCTCAGCCCTGGTCAGGCATCAGAGACTTCACAAAGGAAAGTAATACTGGTTTTAATGACTTCAAGAAAGCTTATGTCATTCTTTATTCAAATACCTTATGATTTTGATATTACAGTTTGTCATCAGTTGAGATTTGGGGGGAGAGTGTTTGAGTGAGAAATATGCTTCTTTTCACATCCTACTTCAGCTGTATTTTATTTTTCCCTGTAACACATACCAGTTCTGATAAAAATTACATTTGTTAACTTCAAAACAATCTTCTGTTCAATTTGCCTAATGATTAATTTATCTGACACCAATTATTTAAATCTATTAAACACTTTTATATTATTTTTAATTACCTAATTTTATGATTTTTATCCCTTACTACAAAGTTTTATATCATTTTTGGTGATGTAACAATAGTGGTACCTGAATACTCTTCTAATGTTGATAGATATTAGAACAGTTGATCGTTAGCCTTATTGACTTCAAATGAATTGGTTTGCTTTTCTTAGATGTAAAGCTGTTACATGTGTAATGGGAATTATGGTTAAATGAATTATTAGATAATAGCTACCAAAAATCTCAATTTTCTTTAGAAGCATAATAATTATTTTAGTTTAAAAATAGAAATCAGGAGAAACTGGTCTATGAAGTCAGAGTGGACTGAAGGGAACTAGTCTCTTTACAAAGAAATAACAACTAGGAATACCAAAGAAAAGAGAAATAGCAAAAAAAAAAAAATTCAACCAACTAACATTTAAAATAAGCAAAGTTAAAAAAAAGAGTTTTGATTAAACTTTAAAATATTGTATTACAACTGAATCAGCTACAGTACCAGAAGCAATGGAAATTAAAAAAAAAAACCCACAGATATTCCAGGTCATATCCTCAGATGAATATATGACACATTAAAAGAAATCAAACCATAATTGGCAATGCTGTGAAATTCACAAGATCACATAAAATTCTATGGGGAAATAAAATCACTATTAAGAGGTATTGAAAACAAATGAGAAGAAATAAAGAATATTACCAAATTCAAAGAACTCTAAATTATTCTATTAGAAAACATAGATTCAAGTAACGAGACCTTAAGAATAAATCATAATGTAGCATTCTCTAAATGACTTAAATTCCAGAGAATTTAGAAAAAACAAAATAATGAGACACTATTTTTAAAAATCATTGGAGAAAATTTCCCCAAAATGGTTGAAATACCTGGTCAGATTCAATTATAAAGAATTCAAAGGACACAGAGAAGATCCCATGTGTATATATCTAACATGCCTTGACACATAGTTAATATCCAACACCATAATAATAAGAAAAAAATACTATTGTTAGAAGTAAAAAAAAATAGCAAGAAATAATATCATAACAGATTTTTCAAGAATAAGGAAGCATTGCCAAAATTGGAATACAAATTTTATGGAATTAAGAAGCATGGATCTTTATGTACCAACAAGATTCAGCATAAAGTCTTATGGAGTAAGATGGATATTTGACAAGTAAAGAGACTGAAGAGTTTTCAGAGACCTATTTACTTCATGAAAATCTTTGAAAGATAAACAAGCATCCCAGAAAAAAAGACAAATACTTAAAACAGGCACTTACAAAAAAAGCAGAATTCCCCAGAGCACTATATTGAGGATATTACTAACAAGGAAGAGATGGTTTCAGGTGGTCTCTGAAACTCACCAATATCCAGGAAGGAAAGAAGGAAAGATTATTAAGCACTCATTATGTGCCAGGCATTGTGCTAAGTGCTGGGGATACAAATACAAGCTGAAAGAAAGACAGTCCCTGCCCATTAGAAGCTTTTATTCTAGTAGGGGAAGACAATACAAATAGAAGCTAAAAAGGCAATGGGGCAAGAAGAAGATGGCATGATTCTAGAAACCAGAAATAGAGCTGGGAAGAGAATGAAGACTAGCTTGGGCCCCTTAACCTTCCCACGCCAGCCTCAAGAGTTATTTGTGCCACCGAGTTGACTGAGGCTTTGGAACTTCCATATTCATCTTTTCATATTCTTATAGTAGGAGCCAGAATCATCACCATTTGGGGGATGGGTTTCTTTGGGGAGGGGTGTGAGAGTGGGGTCACACACCTAGGCAGGGATGATTTTGCCATACATTCATTTGATAATTGTCTCTCAAATACCACATATTCCAACACATCCTTGGACATATCTTCTTGTCCATACATCAACTGCCCAAACTGGTCATATATGTGTATGAGTCTGGAGGGTGTACATGTGAACGGTGGCCTAACCATATATCTTGCTCTCATTCATCATATCTTGGCAGTGAACATAAACCTTCCATGGTGGTTCTAGAGATTCCTCAAAGCTCCAACATACTGCTTTAAGTTAAATGTCCCACTCCATTTCCAGGCAGCAGTGCTAGGTTACCAAGGCATTAAGTCAGTCATAATCTGAGATAAAGGAGAAAAGAAATATGCCACTGTTTCATGCCTTTCTGGACTTTGAATCTGGAATAAACTGTTAGAATTCCTAAGCATTGGAAACCAACTGAGCCACATACAAAGAAGGATCCCTAAAAAAAAAAAAAGGTGATATCTAAGGGAAGAGTAAAGCAGCATTGAGATTTCAAGAGCTGAAAGGATTGGATTGCTTTGGCTCATTTTAAACTTTTAGGTTGAGCAAACTGCCCAACAGGGAGATTGTAGACCTTTTCTTCTCATCTACAAATTTGGCCTCATACAGCCGGATATTGGAAAAAATTCACAGATTTCAGGTATTGTGTGGCCCTCTGAAAATCTCTGGTTACTTTTTAAAATCTTAAGGTTATTCCCATATTTCCATTCCTAACAGCAAATATTCTAAGCCAAGGGGCGAGGGGAGTGGGAGAAGGGACCTGTGGCCTCAAGGCCACATATGGCTTTCTAGGTGTTTGGGTGCGGCCTTTTGACTGGGTCTAAGTTTTATAGAACAAATCCTTTTATTAAGGAGATTTGTTCTGTGAAGTTTGGATCCAGTCAAAGGGCCACGCTTGAGGACCTAGAAGGCCACATGTGGCCTCAAGGCCACAGGTTCCTTACCCGTGTTCTAGGCCATAACCTTAAAAACATTTCAGAAGTATTAATAAATCTATGTGACCCTTGGAAAGGAATATCATCCTGTCACTTTTCAGAGAATTACTGTTCTGCCAATTTCTACATTAAACTAACTAATCCAGATGCCAAAGCTTCCTAGGAGGCTAGTCAGCAACTTATGCCCAAGGAGAGGCCAGGAATACCGAAGGCAAAGGTTCAGATTAATTAATCAGAGTGGATTGATTTGTGGCAGACCAAGAACTTGGTATCATTGGGTACAAAATATAGAGCACCCTCTCATATGTTGAGGTATTGAGGAACCTCAACAAAAATTTGCTGAACTTTTTCTGGGAAGACCTTGTAGAAAAATCAGTGCCATATTCTCTCATTTTCCAAATGTCCAAGGCAGGGAAAACATCTCTGCTTCATGGGTCCCACCATGATGTTATACTAAAGAATTCTATATGGAATGAAAATATGTTAAGCTTATATATGCATATTCACACAGGTATGTATACACATGTGGATATATATGTACATGCATGCTCATCATATATATGTTTGTGTATATACATAAGAATAAATACATAGGCATGCATAAGTTTATATACACATATGTACTTAATAATTCTGCAACATCATAAGGGAAAATCTCATAGTCTTGCAAGAAATAAACTTAGAAAAATAATTAGGAGTTTTTAATACCTCATTATCATTACACGATAAATTTATCCAAAAGTTAAGAAAGGAATCACAACTAAACAAAATATTACACAAATGAAAATAAATAGCTATATGAAATGAACCTTATGGGATAAGAAAAGAATATATCTACTTTTTCAGACTTTGGAACCTATATAAAAATTGTTTGCATGCTAGACCATACAGGAGACATAATAAATATAGAAAAGGAGAGATTCTAAACACTACATTTACAGATCATAATGCAGTAAAATTAATATATAATAATGCTATGAATAAAAAGTGTAGACCTCTATAGACATTTAATATTATATAAATAATAATAATAAGTGAAAGAGGAAAGTGTAAAAAAAAATAGGCCATATCAAAAATAATGGCAAAATGGCTACTTTGTGTCAGAATTTATGAGATGTACCCTAAGTAGTACTCAAAGGCACTTTCATAACCCTGAATATTGCCTGAGTGAGGAAAAAAGAAAAAAAATAATGAACTGGGTCTGAACCTAAAAAACTTGAAAAGGAAAAAGCAAACAAAAAGAAGACATTACTAAGATCAAAGAAGAGAATATAATTGAAGATTAGAAAACAATTGAAATGATAAATCCAAAAGCTGAGTTTCTGAATAAATCAACAAAATTTATAAACTATTAGTAAGTATAATTATAAAAATGAAAAGAACAAGATGGGGCAGCTAGGTGGCGCAGTGGATAGAACTTTGGCCTTGGAGTCAGGAGGCCGATTTCAAATCCGGCCTCAGGCACTTGACATTTACTAGCTGTGTGACCCTGAGCAAGTCACTTAACCCCGATGGCCTCACCAAAAAAGGGAAAAAAAAATTGGAAAGAACAATGAATGACAGGAACACATATACCTAATGATTTTCATTCAGTTTCCTAGAACTTTATAATACTATAATATGATAATCAAGTTTTAATCTTTTGTTTTCCTTTCATATATATGATTTTCCCCATCGTGCCACTCTTGAGAGAATGGTTTGAAGTATGTTTTCTGGAATACCAGAGACTTTTTATAAAACTATAAACTGGGGGGAAATTTTAGTATTGGGCATAAACAGTTTTAGTCAACTCTTAGGTCTCTGGGGAATGGTGATGGTTGTTGTCACTAAAGGAAGGAGAAAATCCTCAGAATCCTTAATTCTGTTTGTGTATGTCTAAGGTTAAAATGATTTGACATCAGTGTAGGAAAACTAAACAATAAACATTTCCTTCCTACTTGTGTTTCTGTTGCTTTGTGAACATTTAGCCTTGTAATAACATGACACAGTGAGTTCCTTTGGCAGTCAGGGGCCTGAGCTGGAACCTGTTGGAATCAAGTGAACGATGCCTTAATTTAAGTCATTTTATAATTGTGCATATTAATGCACATGAGATTAATGCAAAATGATATTTTTTTTGAAATTTTGAAAATTTGAAAATTTCAAGGAAATGAGAGACAGATGTTCATTCTTTAGGTTGAATTTTATATTGTTACCTTGCTTTTAATCTTATCAATAAACATCATTTTTGTATCTCATATAAAAAAGAAGAGAG